GAGAGGGCGGGTGGGGGGAGAGAGGGCTGAGGGAGAGGCTGGGAGAGTGGCCGTCCGCTAGTTACAGAAAGAACAGATACATGCCCAGAACACGGCTGCCTAGTCTGTTACTTACCTACAGGGAGGAACATCCCACGGCCGTTTCTCCCACTTGGGGAGCGTCAGCGAGAGATGGCGGGCAGATGGCAGCAAGCACCACAAAGCAACCGCCGGCTAAGGGGGCAGGTGGGCTACGAAAAGCCCCCCAGGGGCCCTGCCGGGCTCAGTGGGTTCAGTGTCGTCCTGCACACCAACCAGTTGCAGGTTCGATCCATGGTCGGGGTGCATACGGGAGGCAACCAGTCGTTTCTCTCTCCCTCCTCTCTCCCTCTCCCTTCCTTTCTCACTAAAAATCAATAAAAACTTATCTGAGGGGAAGGATATATTAAAAAAATAAAAATAAAAAGCAGCCCAGGAAGCAGGAGGTGGGTAAACAGAACAGCCCCATGCACGTCAGGAAAGGGACCACGGAGGTGCGGTGCCCCTGGGCCGCCTGATAGTCAGAGAGAAGACTCGTTGGTGACGGAGGGAAGAGAGGAGTTTGTCAGACACGCAGACTCCAAACAACGCGGCCGTGAAGGGGATTGTGGTTGGACTCCCAGCAGAGCCAAAGAATCCAAACCTGCCACACAAACCTCGTCGGAGGAAGGAGTGACTAGGGCCTTGGAGCAGCTGCGAGGGCGGCACACGTGGCAGAGCCACAGGAGCCTCCAGGGCCCGGGTCCAGGAGACCCTCGCAGGGCGCTCTGAACCCTGGAGGCGCAGACACAGCGCACAGCTACCAACCACCGGCCATGGGACCTGCTCCACACCAGTGCCCCGGAGGAGAGGGGCTGTCCTTCGCCCCCAGGAGGGCAGCAGCTCTGAAGGGAAAGGGCCGGCAGCGCCGCAGCCCAGGACGCGCAGGAGAGGCTGGGCCCTGAGCCACGCGCTCCTCCCCGTCCTCGCCCCACTGAGGACCCGAACGGGCCGAGCTGAGTGCCCCGCGGAGGAGGCCCTGGGAACATGCGATCTCCAGGGCCCGCACTGCCACCACCAGGCAGGAGCGGCTCTCAGGCGAGAGGAAAGACCACAGGTCTACGAGGAGCCGAGAGGCGAGGGAAGAGTCAGAAGTTCAGCTGCAGAGACGACGAGATGGGTGGGCTCTAGGGAGAGTCGTTTCTGCCAGGAGCTCACTGAGCCTCCGAGAGGGTGGCACCAGGCGGTGGGGGAGGGGAAGGGCAGGGGAGGGGGCTGGGTGGCACCCAGCAGCTCGGGCTCCACCTGGGCCAGATCTGCGTCGGAGCCGCAGTCACACGCGGGCTGCTCACCGCCGGTCCCACCGTGTGAAGTCGTGAACACAGTGAGTGCCTTCTAGTCACTGCGTGTGCGCGGGCCCTGGGGGACGAGGAAGCCAAATCACAGGCACCAGAGAAAACCGAGCTGCCGGCACAGGGCGGGAGCTCACACCAGCAAAGCTGTGCCACCACCTGGCTGGCACCCACACCCAAGGGCAAAGAAAACAATCACTTCGGGAAACACAGCCAGGCTGACGGGCAGGGAGACGCCCACATGAGCTGGAATTAATTCACTGGGAAGAAAAACTGAACAAATAGATCCCAATTGTCTGTTTTGTGCATTTTATGGACAACAAGGTCAAGAGCACGTGAGGAGGCTTAGCTTCAGGGCATCAGCCAGAAGCCACACTGAGGACAAACGCTTGCCCACAGCAGACGCACACCCACCCGCACAGGGCAGCGGCCCGACTCATGTCCGGGGAGGCCTCGCCCACAAGGCAGCATTCTGCAGTCACGGTCACTGAGACTCCTGATTGACAGAGTCGATCGATGTTCCCATAGAAACGACGCTTGGAGCGACATGTCCACTGCTCGGATCCAGTGACTGCAATGACAGCGTCCTTCCCACGTCTCCACACCAACCGGCACCACACGCGCACTAAGAAGCCTCCTGTGAGCAAGCGGAGGGAGAGGAGGAGACGGGGGCGGAGGGAG